AGCGTTTCCTACAGCACTTTTCTTACCATACGCCAAAAATGATCCAAAAATGTGATATTATCAGTGATAAATGATAAAATGCTTATATCAGTGATAAGAATGAATAAAAACTGCCCAATTTTTCGCGATAGTTTTCGATAATGAGAACTTTGTACCAGAACCTGCTATTCGCGATTAACGCTGTGATAAATGTTCACAAAAGCCTTAACATAGATAAGAACAAGGTATCATTGTATGTCTACCCCGTCACCACAAATTACGGACATACTGTATATCAAAAGATTCGTCTCAACAAGCTGAAGCCGTATCTTCTTGCAGATTTCATATAAAATTGTTTTAGAAGAAGTTATAGCTAAATCCCGTTTATCCCGCAAATCTCGTGAAGTCGCGAATCCCGACAATCCCGCGAATCCCGACAATCCCGCAGTTTTGGACAAATTCTACCGCTGCAACTTGTACGCTGTAAAACTCACTTTGCTTGTCCATTTCCGGCCTCTCGTCTCAAACCCATGAGTTCGAGTTCATAATTACCGGGTGCTACCGGAAATAGACACCTAAGGCTTAACAAAAACCTTCTTTTGTATTTTTGAGTAGAATATTATGAAAATTCCCAATCGTGTCATAGATCTCATGAGAATGGCGTTAGAACTGCTGAACTGGACCATACTCTTTCTCAAATGCTGTGCTACATCCGCATTGTAGGGAATTGTACATCGTATACTCACAACTTTGACAACATTTGTATTTGGCTTGGGAGCTCACTTTGCATGACCACAAGACGCCCTTCGGTGCCATCTTTTATACATATGAAGCTCAACGTCTGCCCGTGTGTTTATTTGCGACTATGCTTGCGTGTTGCAATTAGATTAACTTTGAATTAAACTGGAGGACCAAACTTTGAAGCTTCCTGCATAATGTTACATGAATTTCAAAAACGCCCAAGTGTTTGCCTTAATTTGCTTTTTTCGCAATATAACGTCAGTTCTTTCTTCAAACACTATTAGAAAGTATATAATCTCTTTCTTTCAACTTATATAAAATGATTCATAGAATACTAAAGAGCTGACGAACTGAAAATTTTGCCAAGGCCTATGTCCCCACCTAATTTTGTGTGTTCTCTGTTCGAGTTCTAACAAAAATTCTTGAAGATGTTAAATAAAATTTAGCCTCGCCACCCAGTCTGGCATCATTATCAAGCTGCAATAGGGCGGTGTCTATCTCTCATTTTTTCAGCGTTTACAAGTCTTTTTTGAAAAGCGTCCTATACTTTCTATTCTGTTGCATTGTTCGCTTCTTCGCATCATAACGCGCAAGCAAGTTGATGCGTATAATTCAAAGTATACTGCAGCGCTGAAAAAAATGCAAGCGGCTTCTTGATGCCAAAGAAGTTGGAACGACTGTTGGCTGCTGCTTTCGAGCTTGCAAATCTAATTCCTGACTTAGACTGTCAAGTATAACTGCGTTATATTTTTTTCTAGGCGGCTTCATCGGTAACTCACACTGATGGCGCATGTCCCCCAGCGTTGTAAGATAAGATCGTTTGAACATCTCTCATAATTACTCAGCGATTAGATCACTCGGTCGTTTTCGATCGTTAATTCAAAACAAGCACAACTTTCTCAAAATTCAGCCTTTTATCACGACTTTCATTGTGTTCATCGCCTTTCTGGTGCAACTATAGTATTTTTATACTTTTTACTTGTGAAGTGATTTTGAATGAGTCAACAAAGTTCAAGTCTTTTTGACTTGCTATCATTTACTAGGCCCTCGTACTTTTCAAATGGCTTCAAGAAACTGAGGAAAATAAGAATTGGTAGGAAAAGGTCTGAAGAGTTCTAAGATTATATATGGACTTCGGGGCGATGTCGAACACATTTTCGAGAGCCACCTTTCTTACATATGGTCTGACGACATCATGAGAGAGGAAATGCCTCTTATGGCTGTATGTGCAAGTCTGTTCAGTTTCCAATTTTCGATATCTTTTTTCGTAGTTTCCAATATCATTGTTCTCCAGAAAGTTGCCATATTACTTTGCTTCATTTGAAAGCCAACTCTTAGAAGCTTATAACGTGCAAGGCCAGCAATTCACACCTTAGGTTCATTAAGCCATGCTTCGATTGCTCGTTATTAATTTATGATAAAGTCGCTTCGTATAGTGTTAGTTTTATTTCTTGCTCGTGGCAACAGTTCGAGCCGAAAGAAGAGTAAGTATAAGATTTCGAACATGCAGAACTTGTAGAATACTAAGCAGCTAAGAACTATCTGCAACTCTTAGCTATTAGTAAAGCGTAAAGTAGTTATTAGTAAAGTAGTTATTAGTGAACTATCTGCAACTCTTAGTATTTAGTAAAGTAGTTAATAAAGCGTGTGTTAATCTACAAGTTTTCTGCATTGCAACTTTTGCGGAGCCCTGGTTAATGAGATTATGAGAAAGTCAAAAGTGCTGATAATTCTCATCTACAATTGCGATTTTCCAGAAGTCATACATGGCAACTTCTATCAGCCGTTTGACAGTTTTTCACCATGCGGCAACATCAAGGACACAAAAAATCAAAAAACCATCTGAATGACTCATAGCATAAAGCAAGGGTACAAATCCTTGCAAACCTCATCTCACATGATTGAAAAGTCTTGAATAATAAAGCGTGTATTAATCGGGTAGCGCAACAGCATCAGTTGTAGGCTGCTGAGCAAATGAGTACGTGGAAAATATTCATACTACAAACATTTCTCCCTACAGTGACGGCAATACCTCTTTATTTCATTTGTGATCATGCATACGGGTTCAAAGGTGTTACCATGCCACTATTTTTAAGTGCAATGGATCCAGTCTATGATCAGGTCAGTACTGCCATGGAATCGAAAAAGAACCAGAGTAGGTATTTTAGGCTATTCATATCATCGCTTTTATCTACCGCTCTATAGCATTTGTACTTTCCCTTCTCGGTTATATTTCTATATTCTGTCTGATACGAAAGAAGGCGTGCGTTTAAGCTTGTTTATTTTTGTTTGTGGAGTTTGGCCATATCGAGATTACGATGTTAAGGAAAAGAATTCACGAGTTTGTTTACTTATTTGTTGTTTCTTAAGTTTTCTGATTGATCATCAGACTACACAGAAAACAGTGCCTATTAGCATGCGGTCGCATGCTGCTAATTTGACACTCTTCGTTTTCTTTCTTTGAACGAAGATAGTTAGAGGGCAGAAAAAACTGAGTTTACTTCAGTGAACGTGGGTAAAGGCACTACTGTAGCCACACATTCAGCTTTTGCTCTGTTGCCAATCAGCACACCCATGTGTTTAAACCCATAGCCCGTTGTTTTTTATCCTATTTGTCAAATTTTCTGTTAAAATTCTGTCAAATAAGTTGCTCTAATAGCATATCAAGTGGCATCCAGATCATAATTAGAAACTTGTTTTTAAGACTATTTTCAAAAAATTGTGCTCAAAAAATTTTAACTGATTGTTGGATAAAATATGTTCCAATAATTTCACAATCATAAACATGCAAATGAGCATCATTGCAGAGTTCGAGTTTTGCTCAACGATCTCTTCTCAAAAAGCTTACGCTAACATAGTGCTAACAAGTTTTGCTTACAAGAAAACCTAGTGCTAAAGACTGATTACACATGTTAATTGAATCGTTGGCGACAGTACCGTGCAATGATGATCGGCTTGCGGTCTGTCCCTGTGAACGACGCCGCGCAATGGTGCGCGGCACACCATTTGTTTTTTCTGTGCCCAGCAAATCTAATTTGTGTCCATATAGTCAATTTAGGCTCAAGAGTTTTTCATGTTGGTTCTGCTTTTTGGCAAATTCGCCCACTCTATTTATTTTGAACTTTTTGTGCTGAAAACGCATAGAGAGGGTCAAAGCCTCAAACAGTTTTGATCCTGGCCCGCCCCATCATGCACGCTCCGCCCTCAGCGACAAGTTCCGCCCACTTTTCAAAGATGCCGAAATGTGCACGATATCGTAGGATGGATGCGTGCATATATACATACAGCCAGGCGTAAAAGTCCACGGGAACATCTCGTCCACAGGGATAGACGAAAAAAAAGTGTCGTTGTCAACAAGAAAACTTTCGAAATTTAGTTGATAAAAAGTGAAACTACAACGCTAAACGTAATAGTTGTTTTAGCGCATTTCGTTTCTTGAGTGCAGCCAGTAATTCAGAAAAACACGATTTGATCTTTTGTGCATCATGCATCCACCAAAGATGGCATATCATGCATGGGTAGCTGAAGATTCATCGCGATCATTCCACAAAACGGATCATATCATGCTAGAAAGAAAGGAAAAGTCGATTTCATTTAAAAGACAAAATTTTTGGCAACTATATCAGTCGGTACACCGGAGTGATCAGGAAGACATGTAGACACTGTGATCTTTGTGATGCTGTAGTCGATTCTTTGAGATTTTTGCAGTATTTAGATCAGAAGCTGTCAAAAATTAAGGATTGTTTTTTCGCTATCTTTAAAGAAAACCCAATGAAAAAGTGCAGCCTTACAACAGTGTGCCATTTTTTTGAAAGTTACGAGCGTACCCTTTATATTGAGCTGTTACAGAAATCGCAAATCGCAGTCTGTTACACCGGAGTGATCCTGAAGACATATAGACCTTGTGTTCTTTGAATGCTTAGTCGATTCTTTGAGAATTTTGCAGTATTTAGTTCAAAAGCTAAAAAAAGGATTGTTTCTTCCTTATATTCAAACTCAATAAACTCAATCAATATTAACTCAATACGAAAGTGTAGCTTTACAATAGTGTACCATTACTATAAAGTGACAATCGTATTGTTCTCTACATTGAGCTGTTATAGAAGACGCAACGAAAAACGCGTTCTGATTCACGGAGGAAGTCTTCTGGCATCGCTATCAGCTTCTTTGATATGTACGATAGTCCGAGGACTCGAGATAGGAATGGTGCGTTCTTACTTGTTTGTTTTCAAACACATGTATGCTGTGTTGTATTTCCCGTATGCAGAATCACACTTTTATATGCGGTGGAAAGTTAATAGGCGGATTTTTGCGCTCTACTTTAGGAATACGAATTGATGCGAGTATTCTACTTCACAGTCTTTTTGTGGGTTCCGTGTACTGACATAGTAACAACATTCTGTATTGTGGCATCTTTGCGGCATAGTGTTAACCCATTCAAGAAAGCACCGAGTATAAAAACAGTAAGTATACCCTCAACCCCGCATTCCACTGCAATCACAACATCCGTTAATCAGAGTATAACTCAATCAAAGATTGCTCCTGCACCGTCTCGTCAATAGAAGATGTGTGGAACAGAGCCTTCTGCCAATTACGAGGATACTCTTAATGTTAGAATTGTCAATAAAGCTTTATTGAAAAGTGGTACTGCTCACTAAGCACCGTATTATACTGTGATCCAAATGATGATAGACAGCCGTACTGCTAATTAAAGCGTCTTGATAAAGATACGCCCAATGTTATGCGTTTATGCTATGTGTTGTTATGCTAATGTCACGCGTTGATATGCTTAATCTTATATATAAAGCTGAATGTCTGTTTGTCTGTAAGTATGTTGATAGAAAATTCATTTTTGAACCGATCCGGAACAAACGCACACATACACTTCGGGGCGGGGCGGGTGTCATAGGCTACTTTTCGTCATAGATCGATAGCGATTTTATCGATTTTTATCGATTTTTTTGCAGAGTTCACCTAAGGGGCTGGGAGACGGCACAGGTGGAGTCGGGGGGGGGGGGGGGGGGTAAGCGAGCATGGCGATTCCGAATACAAATTTGGATATCAGAATTATCGATTAGTTTTATCGATTTTATCGATTTTTCGCAAAGTTTGAGCCACGGGGCTGGGATTTGGCACAGGGAGGTAATCGAGCATGCTGATTACAAATACAGAGTGTCCCAAAAATGTATCCACTGTTTGATTGTAAATAACTCTCTTGTGATGAAGTGTTTCGAAAAGCTTTAGGCACCGTTTTGTAGAGCGAGGTTCAACTTAGATTTACTGTATAGAAGGGATCACCCATCTTTCTTCATTACTGTAAGATTAGGTAGAAACTTGAAGCATATGGTGTGTCAATGTGGAAAAAGCCTTCGTTTCAAAACTTTTCAAAAAAATGTAAAACTAGTGCAATAGAGTTTTTATGGACGCTGAGTTCAATACACAACTATTCGCAAAATTATGAAGCTTTCTAAACGATGTAACCGTATTTTTTAGGAACATTGAAAAAATGACCGCTACCCCTTACCTGGCATAACTTTTCAATGAAGCATCATAATAAGTTGGGAACTTTACAGTCAGAATCAGCAACTTCAATTAACCTAGTGTAAAAGTGTTCAGGCTGTTTTGTTTCCTTTCTGAGGCAAAATATGGCCTTTTATGGCTCAAAACTCTCTTTGAAGTTTCCACCGTAATCCCACAGTAATGAAGAGAGATGGGTGACTCGCTCCATACTATAACTCTAAGCTGAAGCCAGCTCTACAAAATGGCGCTTACCGCTTCTCGAAAGACCCCATAATAAGAAAGTTATCAACAATCAAACAGTGGATACATTTTTTTGGGACACCCTGTACAATATTAGCTTTTGGTATTACCTATTACTTTTATCGATTTTTTAAGATTTGAGCTGAAGGGCTGGGAATTGGCACAGGGGGTAAGTAGGCATGCTGATTCCTACAACACAGGGAACGGGAAATGAAGTGTAGAATGGGCACAGGGAAAGGCTGTACAGGAATAGGGGTGGCACCCCTAGCACTGGACAAAAATTTGTCTCCAGCATTTGTAGGAAGCGCAAAAGCGACCGAAATTATATATGATATCAATCTAACTTTTCATTTGTTTATCTATTTACAGGGCTCGACACAGATGGCTTGCAAAGCAAGCTAGACATCGTTTTTTGGGACAAGAAGCAAGGGGATTTCGTTTTTGTAGCCGAAAAGGCGCAAAATTAGCGACGTTTTTCGTGCTCGCGTTCAATTTTTCGGAAGTGTCTCTAGGATTATGGTTGAGGGTCAAAGGGGACTTCATAAATTCGGGAAATTCAATGGGGACTTCGTGTTTTGCATTGTCCAAAGGCCACTTCGTGCCGAGCCCTGCCTGTTTATGAATACAACAGTTTGTGGATCGTACTCCTCCATTCCTGCGCTCACGCTCTCATTCAATAAATAAATAAAGAGTTTTAGGTTTTGCTCTCCCTCTTCCCCACTTACTTTCATTCCACTCTTAGCAAAAAATCAATATATCGATTTGTTAACAGTTAATACATTGCCAACTATATAACGTAAAAAGCTCGGCGGAAGCACTCATTCCACTCCCTGCATATCGAAAATTAGCAAATTCCGTCGGCAATACAGCCTCATAATGTCGATGGCTGGTTGAATCACATTGCTGTTGGCCTTCACGCAAAGTGACCGAAACCGTCGCAATGAGTCGAATGCAATGCGTTCTGAATATGTGATGATTATGGACGTTTCGATGAGTTTGACTGCTTTTGGGAGAGAAAAGGTTTCGTTTCGTAAGGGGAAACAGTGCTCGTCAAATTGAAGCAATAAGGCTTCGTAACAATGGTCTCGTAGTTCTTTGTTCAGCTCGAAATCGCCTCGATGCTCATTGATGGATTCACGAATAAGTTGATGCAAAGTGTCGAAGATACGGAGTAGTTCGTGTTTCTATAAAATATAACAGATTCAATCAGTAGCTCTATAAAATTCATTTTCTTTGGAAAAGTTGTAGGAGTTCAGTAGTTTCTATGAATCCGTAATATTAACTGGAACGTGAAGGTGAATTCTAATTGTAAATAGTTTGATGATACAGTTTTTGTCTCAAAACCAATTTTTTATTGTTGATAACAATATTCAGAATTACTTTCTGCTCCTAAAGTGTTTTCTATCATTTCATTCAAACTTCATTTAGAAAAAAGGAGCGAACCACAGTCACAAGTAATCTTTGAAAAATCTTGTTGCATAAGAGATGAAGGGCAAGAATTGGTTATGAAATGTTGAAAATGTTGCAACAGATTCGAATTACGTTTTTTTTGCAGTATCAAAGAAAATTTGGAAAAATTCTCACAATTCGCATAGTTGAAATTTTTGGCAACTGAATTGATTATACAATTATTCAGGTTAAATTTCTGCTTTTTTTTCATTGATAAAAATTTTAGTTGTATACAGAATACTTTTTTGATTCGTCCAATTATAAAGAGCTTGCACTCTGAAGAGATTCTTCGAATTTGCATTAGTTGCTTCGCATTTTTCGCTTGGTAACTTCAATTACTGTACTTACTGTACGCATTGCTGTACTGTAGCAACTTCGATTATTGTACTTTGAAGAAGGTAATCGATATATCGGTCTTTGGTAGCTCTGCTGAAACGGAGCAAAGTTTTTGCACTTAGAATTTCATTTACGTCAAAATTCAACTTTTGATCAAATTCTCATGCCCAATGGGTTCTTGTAGTTGGATATCAATCAATCGATATATTGATTTTCGATGAGTGATAAAGTGAAGGGAAGTTTTAACTTGAAAATTATCTATTTTAAACATTAACTTTATGGTAAACTAGCTGGCTTACCCGGCTCCGCCGTATGTTCCAAATAGAAAATTCCATTTCTCAGCCGATCCGGACCAAACTTGACACACATACACTTCGGGCCCCGGCGGGTGTCACAGTCCACTTTTCGCTATCGATCGATATCGATTTTATCGATTTTTTGCAAAATTTGAGCTACGGGGCTGGAATTTGGCAGGGGGGTGTAATCGAGCATGCTGATCACCCCCACGGGGGTGATCAGCATAAAATCGATATCGATCGATAACGAAAAGTAGCCTATGACACCCGCCGGGGCCCGAAGTGTATGTGTGCTAAGCTTGGTCCCGATCGGTTCAGAAATGGAATTTTCTATTCGGAACATACGTACATACATACAGACCAGTGGCGTACCGAGGGAGGGGGGGCGGGGGGGGGGGAGGGAGGGGCGCGCGCCCTTCCCGAGAATGGGTCCCGAAAATTTTGAAAGTTACTTATAAGGGTTATAAAAATGTGCAAATGACTTGTTTATACTTGTAAATAATTAAAATAATTTTTAAAATTTTTTAAAAATTTAAATTAGCCTTGTAAAAAAAATTTTTTCAGATGTGTGGGCGACGCCACGCCCCCTTTTTCCAGATTTTAGGGGTTGGGGACCCGCAAAAAGAAAGAAAGCACCCCTAAAAATTTTTCGGAGTGCGTGGGTAACGCCACGCACCTTCATTTGAAAAAATTTTTTGTCGCGCCCCCCCCCCCCCCCGAGCGGAAATCCTGGGTACGCCACTGATACAGACATACATACAGACATACAAACAGACATTCAGCTTTATATATAAGATTTTACTACCCTAAGTTCTGTATCTGGACGCAGCTTGATCGATACATTGATTTTTCGTTGGAAAGGTCGATATATAAACATCCTCTAATTCAAGGATATACCTAACTTGAGTACAAGTCTAAGTTCTAAAAATTCCACCCGGAGTAGTTGGAAGTGGATTAATCGATATATTGATCTGCTGAAGAAGTGAAGAAATGAAAAGGGAATTTTAAGCGCGAAAAAGCAATATCAAAATCTCACCTTTTCGACTTTCCCTCATATTTCCTCCATTATTGAAGCTGAAGAAAACTTACCTAAAGACAAGCTAATCAATAAATTGATTTCACAAAAAGATGATATAATGAATCGAGGTTTTTGAGTTGAAAAAAGATTCAAAAATTTGATTCTGACAGGCATTGGCTATCCTAGCCTCATTTCCGCTTTTCAAAAAAGGGGTAGCTTACAACGAAATCAGTGTGTATTTGCTTGAGCGATATAATGAATGATCTGCTACAGGTTAATATGACAGACTAATCAATATACTGATTTTTTATGACGAACTTTGGAGTAAAGCGAGGTTTTCGGACTCAATAAAGAATAATTTTACATTGGTTATGCACCATTTTCATTCTCATAGAGTCTAAACTAGTACGGTAAAATTAGTGATAGGGTTACTGTAGGCGAAAACAAACTAATCGATATGTAGATTTCTTGGGGAATCGTTATGACAATCAGTCAGTATATTGACCACTCACTAACGCCTACCAATCAAACAATCAATTTACACTACCAACAATCGATATATTGATTTGGGCAAAGATTAATTTAACAATCTACTGATTTTTTGATTTTTTGAAGCAAGCTTCAAAATAAGACAGATTTTGGACTCAGTAAACAGCAAACATTGACGACAATGCAAATTTTTGATTGTTTGCCTCTTGGGACCAAGACCTTTCTCGGAGCAGTCAGCATTTTTCAGATAAGATCACGCATACTGCATTCTACAGTATATCTACAGTAGCTGTGAAGGGCTGACAAAGAAGTTGGGGTCATTACTAAATTCACAGCAAAAGGAAACTCTATGAGTTTGTACTAAGATATTCGTTATTTTAACGAAGTACAAGCCTTGACACACCAGTGTGTCAAGCAGTCCCACGTGGTAGTCATTGCTTGACACATATGGTGTGACAAGCGGTCGTCAATGTGTTAAAACGCAAACTTTCTGTGTAATATACCACCTTGGCCTAAATGATCGATTTTGAGGAGTTGTTGGTCCGATCAATAACCTGTAAGTGAAATGATTTATTGATAATTTTTAACTTTTACCAGAACTTACAGCTATGCATAGAGTAGCGATAACGTCTGTTAGAAGAGCAATATCAAAACATATGCGTTCACAGGAGATGGTTAAAACAGATGATCGTATCGGTCCCTAGAAAACACTGGGTAGTTTCAATCAAATCTTAGTCAGAGAAAACTTACATTTTTTCGAGTGCTTTGAGCAGCCGTAAGCATCAGATTAGCAGAAATGCGGTAGTATATCACATAGTGACTTAGCAGAAACAGATCAACGATCTTCAGATGAATTAGAATACTCAGCAAAGTAGGAATAGTCCACAATTCGCAGCACTGAGGATTATATAAAATAGCATTCATTGGCCATATTCGTATTCAGATTAACAGTGTTTCGTAATCAGGAATAACAGTGTTAAACTGACAGCGGACAACCATTTACTGGATCCATCATAAAAGCAAGAACTCAAACACAATGTATTGCAGCTGTCGTCTCCTAAAAAACTTGAGGACGTCTAGTTTGTACTTCCTTAGTTCGTACCCAGAAGGTGTTGCGTCACTTACCTATAATTCACGTCACAGCAAATAGGCATGAACTCACTGACGTTCGGCTTTTTCGCCATTCAAGTCAAAATAAGCATAATATAGAAAGAAGTGATAACGAACACCATGGAGTTTGATCAAATCTGAAAAGAAATGAATGAAATGAACGGAATCATAATAATGGGCTACAACTATCATCGGACAAAGAAAGTGACACAACCGAAGTAGAAAACCCCAACAATAACCAAGGAAAATTAATAGAGAGAAGTTTTTCTTAGCAGACACAACGCGCCCAATGTTTGAAATTATTTTCTTACTGTACGCGCAATCTTGTGCGCTTTACGAGCTTTTGCATAGTGTAACGGCCGCCGGCAGGCATTATTTACTAGTCCGGTGGCCGCCCGGCGTTTGGCTCCGCCCAAAATGATGGAACGGTCGCCGGCCGGTGCGAGTGTTTGAGCAGCCAATCGCGACTCAGTTGGCGATCCCTCGCCCATACCCTTCAGCAATGTCCTAAACCGAAAAACGTCATGAAAATTACTTTTTCGAATTTTCAAGCACAGACTGGAGTAACCGTCTCCACAAGGTCAAGGAGGGATAAAAAGCTCGTAAATGCAATTTTCCGGCCACTGCCACTGCACTACCGAGTAGCTTTACGGTAAAGTCTTTACCTCTTCGGAACATATCACATGTTTGACTTATTAGCTTAAACATTTTTTAAGAATTTTCTTAGAATTGGAATAATACTGCGAAAAAATAGGACTTTCTTGATATATATACAAGATGCGCTATGAATGAGTACAATAAATAAAATTACTTATTACGTAAATATTGACCAATGTAATTGCTTGGACTCATTTTTTCACTACGAAGATCTCATCAATTATTCGTTTGTAAATATAGAACTTAGGCAATGCGAGAGTTATTTATTTATTTATCTGTATGTTCACTCATTTATTTGTGGATTAGAACAGATTTCAATGCAAATTTGCTTTTCCACTCTTGCACCCATGTCTAAAATTAATTTCGCTTTGGCATGTAATTTTTTATATAAAATGCTCTTGTTGTTTTATCTATAACTTTTGAGTGGGAAGTATTTTAAAGCTTCTTTACATATCAACTAAGGTTTCTATCACCACTAAGCACAGTTACATTCCAGCGGTGCTAAAATTTTAAAAGCAATATCTGCAATTTAAAGCGTCATTTTCATGCACTAATGGATGTAAAGAAGCTTAACTCGATATTTGGATAGAGACAAATTTTCCCTATCAGTGAACAACAAAAAATTGTGATCTGCCATTCCAAAAATATTTGACCAACAAGACCAATTTTTTTCATTTGCACAATGAGAAGACGGGGGGTTTTCACTTCTTGCGAATTTCTTTCGTTAAAAAAATTTTTTTAACTTAAACATAATATATATTCTAATTATCGTTAAAGTACTCTTGCCAGAGATACCATAACCAGCAGATAGGGCAAACCTTTTGCCAATTGATGCAATTTTTTGTGGCTCTGTGGCTTGTATTTCAGAATACTTAAAATTTTTGACCAGATTTCATGTTCCATTTACTAACGTAGTAGAACATGAACTGGTAAGCAATTGAGGCACCATTTGATGCAACTTTTTCTCCTCTTTCTTATAGCTGTCTTTTCTTGACAAGACACGCAAACTTTGCAGGGCAAATCGCTGCACAATTTCACAAGTGCCCACTGACGCTGAAGCAGCGTCAACATCAAGAGGCGATTGATCGATTGGAAGGCGAGATAATACAGAAAAGAGACATGGAAAACCTTCGCGCGGAAAAGGAGCAAGTCGAACAGCAGTTGGAACAAGCGAACAAACCAAGGGAAAAGCTGTCAAACGATGAAAGACAGCAAGAGAAAGAACGTCATAGGCTATCTCAGGAACCTACGACTCAATCGCAAAGGACTGACAAACCAGGGGAAAAACTGTCAAGTGATGAAAGACAGCGCGAGAAAGAACGTCACAGGCTGTCGCAGGAACCTGCGGCTAAGGCCCAAAGGACCGACAGACCAGAGACCTCGAGGGCCTGGGAGGACAGACTTGAAAGAGACATAATCGAAATGGAGAGAGTGTTGCAGGATTTCCCTCATCGGAAAATCGGACAAGTAAACCACGGCGTTAAAGGAATCACGTGCGCCTTCTGTGATGAAACAAGTAAGCACTTCTCTGACTCCTGCCCCAAATATGTGGAGGGGGCAAAAAGATGGGAGATTATTCGACGGAAGGAACTTTGCCGCTTCTGCTTAGAAAACTGCCCGCCACAAAAGGAGTGCTTCTACGCAAGCAGAGAATGCTGATACTGCAAACGCCTAAAGAAATCTATTTTCGAAGACCTCATCCCAAGCGACAGCGCACACCATCGCGCCCTTTGCATCGTCCCAGACATGAAGGCACGAGCGAAGCGAAGAATCCTTGACGCCAGAAGAGCACTGAAAAATGGCCGCAGGACTACACATTAGCGGCGCCGGGAGTGTCGTCAACGACGACCAAGTGATACATAATCAATGTAAATAATTAAGATATATTTGTCGATTGTTTAACCGATGTATCAAGTATTTGTCCATGTATTTTTGATTTTGTTCTTTGAAATCGTACATTTCTCAAGTATGCGTTGTTTTGCTTTTGTAACGTTTATCACAGCATCTATGTTACTTTTCGCTTGGAATATATTTCGAGATTCAACTTTTATCTGATTTTTTTCTGTATAAATAGAGCTCACACCGCCGCAAGATCATGCTTCCTCAGGTTCGCCAAGGACCTCAAGCTCAAGGACAAGTTCAAGCTCAAGTCTTTCGAAGAAGGAAGAAGAAGAACTTCCGAGTGTGAGCAGGAAGACAGAAGACTGTATGTAAAGAATTGAACAATAAACCTATTTGTGAGCACGTTTCCAACCACAGCTTATAGTCCCGCGTGGCAAACGAGCAAGTAAAGCACAAGTCCTAGTCTAGGCGAAGAAAAAGAAAACTCTTTCCTACACCCACTGGCGTAACCTTAACTTCATACTTTGAAGCAACCGCTCATTAACTTTGTAAGCTTAATAATAATGATAATCGAGTTTTGAAACCTCATTAATCCGAAGATTGTGCAGTGTTTGGTGCAATAACAGATGCAAAATCGTAACTCTTCGTTTTTCCCCACGTCCAACACTCGCTAATTTTCAAAATTTTTATATGAGAGTTTTGGGCTTTGATAAGCAGCAGAGGGCGAGCCTTTCGCCAGCTGAATCATTTTCTTTATTTTACCTATTTTTTGAAATTATGCTAAATAAATTTCCAAAGTCCAGAATTTTGAAAAAAGCGGTTATCTCAGCACCCTTTCAGCGATTTACATCAGGAATATTTCTGCTAGAAAGGGAAAGAAATTCTGTATCGGATACAATTTGAACTGTTTGTTTGTGTCTACCGTGCGGGATTTTCGGTCACTTCAAAATGTGGCAAAACCTTTCTGATTTGTATGATTATAACAGTTCTGTTGTAAATCTTGTTCATTCCTACACTCATGTTCTCATTCCATTCCGAACAAGACAAATTAATAAATCGATTTGTCAATAGTTAATACATTATCAACGATATATACAACACAGAAATTAGCGGAAGCACTCATTCCACCCCTTGCACATCCACAATTAGCAAACTCCGTCAGCAATACAGCCTCATAGTGTCGATGGCCCGTTCACATTACTGTTGGCCTTGACGCAAAGTGAACGAAACCGTCGCAATGAGCGGAATGCGGATGCGTTCTGAACGTGATGTGATCATCATCAACGTTTTGATAAGCTTGAACGCTTTTGGGAGAAAAGCCTACATTTCGTAAGGGAAAACAGTGCTCGTCAAATTGAAGCGCTAAAGTTTCGTAGCAATAGTCTTGTAGTTCTTTGTTCACTTCGATACCGCCTCATGCTCTTTGATGGATTCATGAGTAGGTTGATGCAGAGTGTCGAGAACTTTGCGAGATTGCTCTTTCAAAAAAGAAAAAATGACACTTTCAATTAAAGATCTATGGGGTTTTATTTCCTAGAGAGCTTGTGGGAGTTCAACACATTGTATAAATTTGTCTAACAATGATTGGAGCGTGTGGGTGAAGATTAACTTTGAATACTATGGCTATTTTTGAGTAGTTCATATCACTTGAATTTGACCATCTATGGCCATGCAGATGGTCGGAATCAAAATCCCTATGTCGACGTACCATTCCTACACTTTACACCAAAATCAAATTTGTTTTTCGACGAGATTTTTTGGGAATTTGAGAAAAAATTAATCTTTCGAGACGGTAGAAGCTCAAGTGTTTAGTCATAATCGATTTTTGGAAAATCCGATTCGAAGAATTCAAAGTGTTTGAAGCGTTTGTATTTTTTACAACTTCGCAAATGTGTGACTTTTGAAAAACTTGTTTTTAAACATAATAACACTAACATACTATCAGCTACCGGTAAAAATTGAGTCGTGTAGCAATTTGTTTACTCTATTTAACTGTTATCGAAGTTCCGAAAGTCCAGAACAAATTTGAAAAAAAATAGCAAAACTGAGGGCAGGGTTGAATATGCTTTGAAGATTCTGACATTTTTTCAAGCGAATATCAAAGGAATTCGAACAATAACATTACTGTTGAAAAAAAAAGAAATACTGCATAGAACATTTTTTTAGACTGTTTGTCGACCTTTATTCTGAATGATTTGAGGAAAGGTCTAAGAAAAGGCACGACTTTTGGACCCACCTAATACTTTGTGCATTATTACGGAAAGTGTGATGTCTCACGATTCGCAAAATTTCATTTTATGTTA